TAGATGATTGAATATTTTCTTATTTATTTTGTAACCATAGCTACTGTTGTTCAGTTCATATGTAAGAGAGATTAAGGATGAACAAAACAGAAGGGGTGACAGAGAATCTCCTTGAAAGATTCCACGTCGGATATTCAGACGGTTGGATATGGCAGTGCCCCCGGTGTGACTAAGGTATAGTTTGGTGTTCCACATTCCCATGCTGTGCTTAAGGAAATTTAATACCACAGGGGAGACTTTGTACATTTCCAAAGTCTTAAGGATCCAGAAATGTGGAACACTATCAAATGCTTTACGATAATCAATCCACGCTGCACTAAGATTTCTGCGTCCTCTTCTGCAATTTTCTAGGATCATTTTATTCATCAGAAGTTGATCTTTGCAGCCATATGAACCTCTTCCGCATCCCTTCTGTTCCAGCGGGAGAATGCTGTTTGTTTCGAAAAAGGAATAAGTACGGTTCGTCAGTACAGACGTAATCAACTTATATCTTGTGGAGAGACATGTTATCGGTCTATAATTTTTTGGGTCGTCTGTTTCAGTTGTTTTTTGGTATGAGGAGTGTAATACCGTCAGTAATCCATTCCGGGATTTTATTGGGATTATTTACAAACGTTGATAATGTTTTTGCAAGAATTTCATGGGTAGGTGAGAGATGATACAGCCAGAAATGGGGCAACTTGTCATTTCCTGGGGATTTCCATTTTTGGGATTTCGTTAGAGCTTGCCTAACATCATCTGTGGATATATTTTCCCATTCTTGCAGAAGTGTATCCAGCAGTCGTTCTTCACGCCGTATCCATTTTGCATTTGGGTTATATTCCTTTGGGCTGCTCCAAATATTTTCCCCAAAATGTCTGTACATTATCAATCGATGGTGGCCTTTCGACATGTATAGGTGTTTTTCCAATTTCCCTGTAAAATTTCTTAAGATTTGTTCGGAATATTTTATTTTGGCGATAGAACCTACAACGTTTTTCGTATCGTCTTGTTCTCTATGCCTTTAGCTGAAGTTTCTGCTTCAGCATTTCCTTGATTGATGGAATATCAATTAGGGATTTAATGTTATATTTCCGCTTGATCTTTTTGCATTTACGTGTGGAAATATTAGGGTTTCTGGTGAGCTCATCTAATATAGAAAGCTCACATCTGATTTGTTTTATTTCTCGTATCAGTTTGGTTTTCCAAGCTGGTTCTCTGTGTCTGTTAATTTTATTTATTGTCTTGACTCCAAGCTTCCGAGTCGCTGCTAAAGCTGTTGCGTATATGACGTTGTTAACTTCTGTGATGTTTCCCGGTGGTTTATCTGTTAACAGTGTTTCCAGAGCAGCATTATATATTTTCACGATGTGCTTGTTGGAATTCGTCATATGGATTTTCGGGAGCTGGTCTCTGTCTGACAATTGTATGAATGTTACTCTGCTGAGTACTTGGATGACGTCATTTTTCGCTTCGGTGATTTCAGCTTCGTGGTTTTCAAGGAATTCTAACTTATTGTCACTGAAGATGACTCCAGGTACATTTTCTGGAGGACTGCAGGTTGTGTTTAAGGTAGAGTCTTGGGTTTCATTTCCTGGGAGATTATTTCGTATTTCATTTGCTTTAGCGTCCACCTCATCCTCTGTTGCATTCCTTATTTCTACATTCGTCTCAATAGAGTTTGAGTGATGGGTCATTTGTCTTATATCTAATTTTATCTTATCTATTTCTGCCTTTGAGAGTTTGTTGTTTCGCATGATGTCCCTACGGACATTGGCAAGCATGTTTGGATTGAGGTAAGGTCTTATATCATTTCCCACCGTACTTCTCCATATTTGGTATGTTTGATTGGTGGTGTTCTTTGCTGGGTTTTCGAGTGCAGTGAAGAAGGATGTCATGACTTGTCGATACTCTTTATTTTTTATTAGTCGATTTGGTATAGAGTCACTTGGTCCAATGTTGGCAATAATCCGGGTTCGGTGACCTAGTGTCTCTTCGTGTGTGGAAGAGTTTGTTCCAGTGACAGACTTTTCGTCCTCAGACTGGTTCCTCTCTGAGGGACGCGGCCCTTGTTGTCCCGGTTGACCGCCGATCCGGTATGAAATATTATTCGTATTCATTGAAATTAGTAGAGATGCATTTTAACTTTGACCGCCAAGGGGTAATTATGTTCAGGTTACAAGCTTTAGGACGAGTCTCGAAGAAGATCCAAGAGCCCGCCCAACCAATGAGATTGTGGATTTATTAATATAACGAAGGTAGAAGAGTGTATGGTATTCAGTGGGGTAGACGATACTAAGTTTTAACTTAGTATAAGTCGGAGTGATCACTCCAAGGGGATAAATAGATTTTAGTATATAGAATAAAAAAAAAAAAGTGAAAAATGGACACGGATGTCCGCTAAAGGTTGGAGGGGGCGGAAAAATTGAAATGTAAGTTAAAACAAAGAAAGGGAAAGAGAAAAGGGAACTGAAAAGGAAAGAATTAACTTGAGTCAAAAGAATTTAGAATCATATCAAACTACAGGAAAAGTATCATTCAAAAATGGCATATTTACCATTTCTTTTATTATTATTATTATTATTATTATTTCTTTTATTATTATTATTATTATTTGTAATTTGCGTGGAAGTGAACGCAAAAGACGATCCCAAATTTTGAACAGGGTTCGATAATTCCACGGCGGTATTGAAATAAAAACTGGTTCCAAATTAATCAGGAAAATAATTGTGGAGTCATTAAAATTTCAAGTATATTTTAAGACTTATAGTAGCATATGCGCAAATAGAAGTAGGACTAGACAAGAATAAATGGTATTTCTGTATTTAGAATCGTTTTCGCGTCATTGTCATCGAAGTAGGTTGCAGACGATTTTATAACTATGGTAGTTAAGTCTAGAGATGGACTATTTTAAGATCATTTCTCGCACAATGCAAGTCGTTAGGATAAAGACGAAAAGAAAAAATAATTATTTACATTTTCAGTTTTTGAAATCTATGGTTTCATATTAAAAACAAAAAGATGACAAGGCTAAAAATAAAAGAACAGATTTTGCATAAAAATTAGTCGAAAAGACATGAGATATATATAAATGCTGCGACATCTCATGAAAATTTACCTTGAGTTTTTAAAAAGAAATAAAAAAAACAACTCCGTTCTTTTTTATTATTAACTCAGAACTGAAAATTTTTAAAGTGAAATATTATTTCCCATAACAACAAGTGAAAATTTTTTTCATTTTTCCTTAGATGTAATAACAATTTTTAAGTTGTAGTAATTTATTTATTTATAAATTTCCTTATATTATTCAACACTTTCCACACTCAATAGAGTCCAAAAGTGCCCCCGTGTCCTTGTAGGCGATAAATTATTTTCCACACTGAAAACCCCTTCTCAAAGATGAGACGTCGCAAGCCTCTCACTAATCTATCGCTATTTCCATGGTGAATGTTCAGATGAACTGCGTTGCATGGTTCAACTAGTCGGTACGCGGACATTTGGCCGACCGACATTTGGCTTAAGGACATTATTACTATGGACATTTAACCAAATGGTCATTTACCCGAAAATGTAGTGGCGTTCTTACATGTATGTCACACTTTTAATCATAATGTGCTACATATATTTATATTTATTTACTGTATTAATTTATAATTTTTCGGTGTTTTTTTTTTTTTTTTTTTGACAGGCTTTTTTAAAAATCTATTCTGCATATATTATATTTTAATTCAAATATCACTTTAAGATGATAAGTATTTTAAGAAAAAAGCACTTTTTACTACAGAAAAAATTTAATCTTGTACGATGTGAAAGATCTTTCAATTTCGCTTTTAATGATCATTATCTTAAAGGGATGAATTAGATTTTATCTTACTGTTAAATACGAATTTAAATAATTAGGTGCTACGTTTTGCCAAATGCACTAAAACATTTTTAAAATACTAATTTCAATAAACAAATATTGAAATAAGAAAACTTTTAACTTTAAATTTAGATTTCGTAATTTAATCATTTGAAATTCAGTGGTAATTATTAGTCCTATTCTAGCTTATAATACTGTTAATTAAAATACTTCAAGTATTGCTTGGTACTATTTTTAATTGTACTTTTTCAGTGAAATGTCTATTGACCAAATGTCTTTCGGCCAAATGTCTGGCAACACCACTAGTTTTAACCTTCAGGCTAAGCCTCGCCATGCCACGACCATTGTAGCGAATCGCCCTCATTCCCTTCATATCCCCCTGGTGAGAAGTTCCACTCAAGCTTTTTTTTCCTACGAACCTTTGCCTTATGGAACCGACTCCCAAGAGGTGGTTTCCCAGATAGATAGATAGATAGATAGATAGATAGATATTAACAGAAATAGATAGATAGATATTAACATAAGTAAATAGATAGATAGATATTACCAGAAATAGATAGATATTACCAGAAATAGATAGATAGATAGATAGATAGATAGATAGATAGATAGATAGATAGATAGATATTACCAGAAATAGATAGATATTAATAGAAATAGATAGATTGATATTAACAGAGATAGATAGATAGATAAATAGATATATATATAGATAGATAGATAGATATGAACAGACGGAAATAGATATTAGCAGAAAAGATAGATACATATCTGGTTGAAAAATTCTGTTTCGTGTATGTGTTAATAATACTTGATTTATTAGTGTACGGATTATTTTATTATTCCTTTCTGTTAATATCTATCTAAAACTGTTCATTTTATCTATCTATCTATCTATCTATCTATCTATCTATCTATCTATCTATCTATCTATCTCCGAATAATGGAAATGCAGAAAATCAATAAGTTTTAATCAAACTCGCTCATCCAATATTTGTCATCTTTGAAATTGTACTCTCGTAGATGACAATGCTTCATTTACTTGTGTCAAGGTTATCCACAATGTCATCTTATGTCAAGCAAGTACCCTCTTCATCAATATTACATAATTCATTGTTCACACAAGATGACTTACTTCAACGGCCATTTTGATTTCTGAATGTTTCCTTTTTGCGCAAATCTCTTTAGAAACAACACTGAACTGACGTTCATTAAGAGATCTATGGCCGACCACTCAGTGGGTGTTTTAGTCAGGTTCATTTGCTTATAGACCAAGTTAGAAAAGAACAATCATAAGGAACCCCAGACTGATTCTTCTTTCTGAACAAAGTGGCATTTGCTCTGAAAAGATTTTATCAATTGCAAAAGTATTGTGTAAGTTGTAAGAAATTGTAAAAGTATTATATAACTGCCAAAGTGCGTTCTGTTTGTCATTAGATGGCAAGAGTAGCGTTCCATTTTAAGAGAATTCCATGAAAAAAATTCACTTTCCCATGTGCCGTGACAAAGTTGTAATTCATATCTATCTATCTATCTATCTATCTATCTATCTATCTATCAGTCAATTCATATCTATCTATCTATCTGTCAATTTTTATCTATCAGTCAATCTATCTATCTATCTACCTATCTATCTATCTATCTATTAGTCAATTCACTATCTATCTATCTATCTATCAGTCAATTCATATCTATCAGTCACTTTATATCTATCTATCTATCTGTCTATCTATCTATCTATCTATCTATCTATCTATTAGTCAATTCATTATCTATCTATCTATCTATCTATCTATCTATCTATCTGTCAATTCATTATCTATCTATCTATCAGACAGTTTTTATTTATTTATCGAATTGCTTAAATTTTTGTCCGACATTTTTAGTTAGACAACATAAGAGAGGCAATATTTTAACTTCAAAAACTTCATTTCAAAATAGTGAATGATGAGCAGGCTGTAATTTAATTTTCTTGGTCAGACTGGAATCTGTAATTGTCATGCTCACGTTACCCCCAAAAGAAGAAAAAGTAGAATGTTAATATTTTGCGCATGTCGCGTAGTATCAAGTTAGATCGTCTTACATGTGAGGAATGAAAAACTTCATGAATAAAATAGAAACCAAAAGGAAACTAAAACTTCGCATCAGAAAGACACAGTTGACGTTTCTAGCGCAAATAATGAGGAGAGATGGCTTAGAAAATCTGATACTCACAGTACTGATCGAAGACAATAGGGTCAAAAATAGCAACGTATTACCTAGCTAACGAGATTGAGTAATATGGATGGCGTAACAGGGTTGAAGAGAGTAGAAAAGGAAAAAATATTAAGAGCTACAAAGGAGAGGAACTTGTGGAGACGTATGACCGTCAATGTCCTGAAGCAACACACCACATAGAAGAAATATTTGTTCTTAAATACATGATTTAACCTTTAGATATATCTTTACTTATGTACATGTTGAAATTTTCGTGTGATGAATTAGATAAAGACGATACTAGAAGGCGTTCAAAATGTTTACAGCACAACATTTTGGCGAAACAAGGCAGTTTTTCAATATAGTCACTCTAGACAGCAATGCACTTGGTACAACGAAGTCATGGTCCTCCAAAACTTTCTCCATGATCTCATCATTGTTTCCAATATAGTTTAGAAAAAATGAAGATGTCAGATGGAGCCAAGTTTAGTGAGTAAGGTGGATGGGGTAGCAATTCAAAGCCCCAGTTGGCGGATTTAGCTATTGCAACTTGAGCAGTATGAATGGATGATTTCAGGTTCCCTCTGCATTTTGACTTCCTTCAGTTGTCTTAATTTTGATGCATTGTGTACTGTCCAGTAATTAGTTTTTTCCCCTTTTCCAGGTAGTATATCATGATTATGTCTTCCGAATCAAAAAAAAAAAAATTACAGAAACCATCACCTTGTCAGTCAAATATTCAAAATTCAATTTGACGGTGGGTGGGGTGTTGACAAAAAAAACGTTTGTGCCCAAAATGGGCATTGGTTAAAAAAAAAGTTTGGAAAACACTGGTTTAGAGTCTCTAATAAAATTTTGTAAACTACTTATATAATAATAGTATGCAAAAACTTTCCAGTAAAATACTGTTTTCAAATCTATATTTAGTCTTTATATCATGTATAAGGGTTGGTCAAAATGTTCTAAGCCTTGCCCAGGAGTTGGAGAAACAAGACAGTTTTTTTTGTATTTTTTCAATATAGTCCCCCTTGACATCAATGCATTTGGTCCAACAATGCTTAAGCGTTACAATCCCATCATGGAAGAATGTGGCATCCTGGTCCTCCAAAAACACCTCCACAGCATATATGATCTCATCATTGTTTTCAAAATGGCAACCATGTAGGTGTGATTTCAGTTTAGTAAACAGGAAGAAGTCAGATGGAGCTTGGTCTTGTGAGTAAGGAGGATGGGGGTTGCAATCCAAAGCCGCAGTTGGCTGATTCAGCTACTGCAACCTGAGCAGTGTGAACGAGCATGTTATCCTGGAGCAAGAGCACACCTGGCTTCAGGATCCCTCTGCATTTTGACTTGATTGCTTTCTTCAATCAGTCATGTGATACACGCTTAGGCGATCATGTATCTTTTGATACATAACTGACGAAGCAGATTTTTCCCGCAGTAGGTTGCCATTTGTTTCTGCGGTAGTCCAGTTGCCCTCAAAAGCTATAGAACCCGGTTTTTTCTGTTATTTACCCATTCTGGGGTAGAAGGAGATGATTCATACCTTTTCCAAGGGTATTATCACATAAGTGAATGTAATAGATTCGACTAGAATTCGAACTCGGCTCTTCGATTCCTTAATCCTAGCCTCCATGCTTCCTTACGTTGTACTGTCAATAGTAATAGTACTGTCAGACGGTGTCTCCTTGAACTTCTTCGGGGGTGGAAAATCAGAGTATTTACCTCTGTTTGCTTTGCAGCTTTGATTCAGGGTCGAAGTGGTGAACCCAGGTTACATCTTGAGTCATTAATCTGCGTTGAAAATTCTCGATGGAAGCGAGTCAAATGCATCCCGGGAATGTCAACCCTTTTTAGCTTCTTCCCTCATGTCAGCACTGTTTGGACCCATTGTTCAGACAACTTCCTCATCCCTAATATCTCAGTTAAAACAGTATTAAACCCAACCATGATTAATACATTTGGACTTAGCTGTTTCGTGGACAGTAAGACGTCTGTCCTCCAAACCACACGGTGAATAGCATTATCTTGTTCCCCAGTCGTTGATGTTTTTGGACGATCTGACCGAAGGTCTTCTGTGTTCTCCCTGCCACGCTTGGATTCCGAAGCCCAAGATCTCACGGTTGCATAGGAAGCGGAGTCCTCAGCAAATGTCACTACCGTGACCTCAAGGATTTCCTTAGGTGCTAAACCTTTCTTTTGCAAATTCTTTATAACTTGTTGAACCTCTGTTTTGTCCATTATTAGAATTATCGCACACCTGTCACATTTCATGGAATTCACCTGCACGGGAATTAAAACAGAAATATGAATTAGTTTTTAGTAGAGATATTATGTTTATTTGCATTATTTACATTATTCGGACTGTTATCCTCATGTTCATTGCCAAGTTCATAACGTTTCGGCCGTTGTACACTCCGGCTTTCTTTACGTGACTGTAATTTTTATTCAATATCTGTCCATATCTCTGAGATGAGGTATTATGATTACTTACATTATTTACATTATTAGGTCTGTTATCCTCATCTTCACTGCCATATTCACAACGATTCGGCCATTGTACGTTCCGGTCTTCTTCAGGCGATTGAAATTTCGAACCGAACCCTTTATTTCGTCTACCGGAGTAGATTGTTCTAGTTCCACGCGATATGCCTCTTCCGGACGTGTCAGTTATGGCCCAGTGGATAAAGACGTAGGTTAGATCCAATGACTAGTCCCAAAGAGTTATGAGTTCAATACCAGGCTACAACAGTGGTGAACCAACACTTGGAGAGTTGACAGAATAATGTAAATAGTGTAAGTAGTTTTTCGTATTTCATAAGAAACAACAACAAACATGTTCAACTATGGCTCTTTTTTCTGGATGAGGCTTAGAACTTTTTGAACGGCTCCCGTCTAATCGCCTGATATGAATTTTTATAATAAGTGTGTGCCTTGAGCTAATTAAATGATATAGAACTTAACAATTATGAATAAAAAAATGAGAGAAAAAAAGAAGAATAATATGATGAAAAAAGACTCTGTGATTGTTTTATTTTTAATCTGATTTTAATAATTTGTTCTGCCATCTCTAACTGGCTGCTTTTAAACTCTCATTAAAACTCAGGAGCTTTAATATTGCTTTCAAATGACGACCACCCAAACAACGTAAGAACGACATATTCACATTCGCTGATGATTTAATAGCCAAGAATCGATATTTCGCTTTAATTCGAATCAGTTTTATCCATCAACGTAAAAGTTATTTTTTGTGTTACCTGAAAAAGTATATATATACAGGGTGTCCGGGGTGCACTTTAAAAAATTTATAACTTTATTTGTATTTGCGTAAAAAGGCTTAGAAAGATGTACATCTATATTTTTTAAGGTTTTATTGAAATTTTATTTAAGTTTCCACAAGTCCTCCATCATTAGCAATACAAAGGGTAATACGATTTTTCAGTTCCCGGTAAACATTTGACAACTGATTCACAGTAATGCCTGAAATCACATTAGTTATTTTAGCTATACTTAAAACTAGGTACATTAAACTTTATAACATTTTTACAGATTATTTCTATCGCAAATACAAATAAAGTTATAAATTTTTTAAAGTGCACACGATCTTAATGGATACCCTGTATATATATATATATATATATATATATATATATATATATATATATATATATAACTACAAATTAACAGGCCAGGCAAACCTACCAAGGTTTCACCTACGCGGATCGTCAGGGTACGTTGGCTAGCGTACCCTGACGATCCGTAGGTGAAACAAGGTAGGTTTGCCTGACTCGTTAGGTTCGTAACTAGATTTGCTCGACTTAGTGTATTGAGCATTTTGCTTAGTTATTTTTACTTTACTCGTGTCGGAAGTTTTTATTTTGGGACTCTGAGCTTGGATTCTGGTCGATTGTTTTCGCCTGAATTACATGACAAAACACCTAAGGTTTTTTCCGGACGAGTATATTTTATATTTATAAGATATATATATATATATATATATATATATATATATATATATATATATATGTGTGTGTGTGTGTGTGTAGCCAGCATTTTTTCATTAATACATGGTTCATTAAACAATATAGACAAGTGATGTCTAATTATTTTATGTAAATTCTGATAAGCTTAATAACATTATCATTTAAAATTAAATTGAATTAAAGCATCAAGCTCCGTTTCAACATTAGTCATTCAAAAATATTTCGCTTGAAGATGAAACTGAGCTTGATACTTTAATTCAATTTAATTTTAACAATTATGTTGAAGTTCTTGGCTCTTGTTTTTGAAACATGAGAACTCTTATGTAGCGAAGGAATTATATTTTTAAAATATATATATATATATATATATATATATATATATATATACATATAATTGTTGGTTTTTTTAATATATAATCATAGCAACACCAGAATCCCCATGTTTCAAAACTGAAACTTCAATACAAATTCAATCATAAAAACTAAACGTAAAATAAAAAGATCGAGGAAAACTGCGTCAGGTCGGCGAGAAATTGAATGCAGCCGAGATGCCAGGTCAGGATTGATTACATATCAGACACTTCCGTGGATTTTGTCACTAATCTCGAGATGTCCGGCAGGTGTACCAAACCAGATATGGCAAAATTATTCAATGCACTGATGAATAGTCCATTTATAGATGTGCAAGATGGGGGAACCTGAGGAGGTTTAATGGCTAGCACGCTTGTCTCACTAGAACAGTTACAGCTACATACATTCGGCCTTGTGC